TCTGCTGTGAAAAACCCTTCGCTACCAAACGAGCCTTGAACTTCTCCCCCTCTTTTTCTGTTACTGATGGTTTCTTCTTATACACCCATTTGCAACCAATCGGCTTCTTACCCTCAGGAAGGGGAACTAACTCCCATGTGCGATTGTGATTCAAAGACTCCATCTCCTCAACCATGGCTGCCATCCACTTGTCGTTTTCCTGACTAGTAACGGCATCATGAAAAGTAACTGGATCATCACTGCTAACAGTAAGTGCAAAAGATACCAAGTCTTCAAAACCCAATCTGTTCGGAGGCTTTATATTCGTCCGTCTCACCCTGTCTCTGGCGAGACTATAATCCTGCAAATCATCCGTAGTGGAACCACCAGAAGTCGGTTGAGAAGTTTCTGGTTTCTCAACTGGAAACTGCTCGAAATCTACCACTGTCGTGTCTTGCTTCTGCTGCAACATAGACTGTTCATCAAAAACGACATCTCTACTAATCACAACTTTCTTCGCAACTGGATCCCAGAACTTGAATCCTTTGACACCTTTCTTGTAACCCAGAAAAATGCACTCCTTCGATTTTGCATCAAGTTTGGATCTCTCATCAGCAGGTACATGCACATAAGCAGACAACCAAAATCCGTAAGTTATCAAAACTAACATCATGACCAGTCCATACCTCTTCTGCAACTTTCCCAGCCAGCGATGCCCTTGGCGATCTGTTGATAAGGTAACACGCCATGTTAACAGCCTCAGCCCAGAAGTGTTTGGGAAGCCCCGCATTCAACCGCAAACATCTGGCTCTTTCATTCAACGACCTGTTCATTCGTTCCGCAACACCATTCTGTTGTGGTGTCTTGCGCACTGTAAAATGCCTCTGAATCCCATGCTCCTTACAGAATTGTAGGAACTGTGAATCTGTGTACTCCGTACCATTATCAGACCGCAAACACTTGATTTTTCGTCCTGTTTGGTTTTCTACCTCAGCTTTCCACAACTTGAACTTCTCAAAAACTTCAGATTTCTGTTTCAAAAAATACACCCAAACTTTCCGTGAAAAATCATCAATAAAGTAACATAGTACCTAGATCCACCCAAAGACGATGTCGTGGAAGGCCCCCATACATCAAAATGCACATAATCAAGATCCCTTGAGTTGTGTGCTTCGCAGTCTTGAAACGGACTTTAGTCTGTTACCAAGAACACAATACTTGCAAAATCGAGCTTACAGCTTTTGACACCATGCAACAAGTTTCTCTTGTGTAATTCTGCCATACCACGTTCACTAAGATGAGCAAGGCGCATATGCCACAATTTTGTCGTATCATCACAGGACTCACATCACAGGACTCCAACAGAGTGGTACTCCCTAACTGCAACGGTACTCCCTAACAATCTGTAGATATTCCCTGCAGTCATCTTGCCTTTCATCACAGTCAATGCTCCTTTAACAATCCGAATGGTTTCCCTATCCTCGTCAGCCTTAGGGATAAAACCATTCTTGTGCAAAGTGCCAAGGAAATCAAATTCTTCTTCAAGTCTGGGATATGTCGAACACCACTCAACGTCCGAACGGAGCCATCGTGCATCTTAATTCTGACATCACCAATACCAACAATATTGCAACATCGATCATCACCCAAATAAACCGAACCAGAATTAACCGGCCTGTATGTCGAAAACCATTCCCTATTGGCGTGATGTGATAAGAACATCCAGAATCAAGAATCCAAGCATCCGTCAATTGTGTCGTTGAAATAGAAAGCATATCACCCTCACTGCAATCAGAAGTATCATCCTCGACCACGTTCACAGACTTGGATGAGCCATCACGCTTCTCATCGGTCTGCTTTTTCAACTTCGGACAGTCTCGCTTCATATGTCCCGCCTCCTTGCACTTGTAACAGTGAATCGTCTTCTTATCCCTGGATTTGGATCTGGAATTCCACTTCCCGGACCCTTGACTAAGCTATCGGCTTGAGAGCTTTCCCCTGCATTCTGTTTCCGCTGGTTGTGAGCCAACAGGCTGCAGTAATCTCCTCAACATTGATAGTCTCTTTCCCATATGTAAGAGTAGTCACCATGTGTTCGTAAGAGGAAGGCAACGAACACAACATAATCATCGCTCTGTCTTCATCCTCAATTTTCACATCAAGCCGAGCCAGATCAGAAACGATTTGATTGAAGACATTCACGTGTTGCGCCAAATCGTGATCGTCCTGCATCTTCAGCCATACAAGATCAGAAACGATTTGATTGAAGACATTTTGTCGTTAAGGATTGCCGCTCGCTGCTGCAATTCTTCCCAATCTTCCTCATCCATCGACGCCGGCTTTGTAGGTCGCAAAGCCTTCAAGATCCCTTGCTGCGCCAATAGATCCTTCACCCTCGTTTGCCATTTTTACGAGGTTCGGCAATGTGCTTACGTCCTCGGTGCCTAGGCGGCGCTAGAAGTTTTATTCAATGATTTTTTAGGTCTAGGTTACATCTCTATTTATAATAGAAAACCCTGGTACATAATTACAAAATCAACCCTGTACCGTACCGCGGGGGCTGCGCCCCCACACCCCCAACCCACATAATTCGTAACCCCACAACGAGACTTTTTATGAGCCATACATAACAATTAATTTACATACACTTTATTACTTGATACAATAATGTATGCTTGAACTGAATATTGTTACAATATTCAAAGAATCACACCTCATCTGCCATACTTACGACCAACATATTACTTTCCCTTAAAGCAACTCCCACAAAGGTAGAATCAAGTTTCTCTTTCGCTAACCGAAAATACTCAATGGCTCATATCATAAAATTAGTAGCCTCATTGAATACCTTCATCCAAGGGTCGTGCCCTTTTCACTTCTTCCTCGATGGACTTCTTTTCGTCTCCCAACCCGATAAGATCATCCAATTTCCTTTTCTAACAACAAGACTTAAATTTGACAACTCTATCATGCATCCTAAGTTTTAAACATGGTGAAACTAGAATAGGGTTAACATAAAAAATATCAATATCCCTATAAATCCTTGTGAATAGTCTAATATGACCACCCGATCCTACACTCACTTGTCCTTGAATTATCCCTTCCCCTAGAAGTATTAGTACCATACTTTCCAACTTCACTATAATCAAAATCGGCCAAGTCCTCTGACCTTTGATTGATATCATATTTTGACAAATTATCATCATCAGGACCAAAACCCTTGGCAAAACCCAAGGTGACCGACTGTTCAACCAAAGCCTCAAAGGACATCGACAGAAGATGAGTATTGTATCCACGTCTTCAACTTTCATACCTAATAAAAGTCACGGTAACTTATTCATTCTTTCGTAAGGCCACACATCTCTACAATCTCTAACACCAAGAGGACACCCCACACCATACACCTCACTTCCAATCATAAACTCGTCCATTTACCGAGTATTCTCTATCGGAGGGGATATTAAAACCTTTGAGCAACTTTCGAGCCACCCTAATAAATTATGAATGATCCAAGTCCAGCCCTCGTTTGTTGGTCCAACCAACGATACATCCCCAATGATCAAAACAATGTGTCATTCCATCACGCTAAACACAAGACGTCATGCAGTTAAACCTCCAAGTCATTCAAACTCCAAGTCATTCAAGAAGCAATAAATGCAATATTTCACCAACATAAACTCCTTATAACACTTTAACAGCTAGGTCTCGGGTCAATCCACTTTATGAAATACCTTCAACTAAAGGAGAAAAAATGGTGTACCCCCGCCAGAGGTTTTCTTTATATCCTTTCCGGGCCTCATAGCCTCCGGAGGACCTAGAAGCATCTTCGAATCTCCGACACCTATGGAACTTCGGAAAACATAGAGATAACATCTATGGAAGAAGGATATCGAATATCTAACATCTTTTTGGAAGTCGTGACCTATTGACATGACCTATCAAAACTAAATTCACTGCCAGATGATCATATCTATCTAGCTTGCTAGTCTACAGGTAGTCGTGATGACCCTACGACTCACACCCGCACTAAAGGTCACTATAAAACTTCTTGATCAAGATTGAGAGAATGGATTAAACCACTTTACACTTACTCCCCTTTATTCTGCCTCCCTATAGAGATAAAACACTTTAACACTTGCCAACGAAATCCAATGACTGCTGCTATCTGCCAAACCAAAAAGGGTGAACCGTTTACAACCGCCGCAACTCATTTGGTCTCATCGACACTATTATATGTTTAGAAACAATATGCCACGCCAAATAGTGAATATCTAAAAATAAAAAGACTAAATCAATTAAAAACACATAGTATGAAGACCTTGTTTAGAATTTAACCTAAAATGTAAAAAGGAGAGAGAGAGAGAGAGAGAGAGAGAGAGAGAGAGAGAGAGAGAGAGAGAGAGAGAGAGAGAGAGAGAGAGAGAGAGAGAGAGAGAGAGAGAGAGAAGAGAGAGAGAGAGAGAGATAAAATAACGTACTTTCCGGAAAGAATTTTTCAGACATGGCTATAAATGGAACAACAGTTGAAGTTCCCTAACATATAGTGTACAAAACGGATCAGAATTCAAAGGTTGGCCTTAGATCTCTACACTCTTCCTTCAGGTTTGAATATAGAATTCTTTACTCGAATTCACCAGCATTTCATTAGTTATTTTGTAATGAGAGAAGAGAGAGAGAGAGAGAGAGAGAGAGAGAGAGAGAGAGAGAGAGAGAGAGAGAGAGAGAGAGCATAAAATATACGTAGCTTTCCGGAAAGAATTTTTCAGACATGGCTATAAATGGAACAACAGTTGAAGTTCCCTAACATATAGTGTACAAAACGGATCAGAATTCAAAGGTTGGCCTTAGATCTCTCCTACACTATCTTCCTTCAGGTTTGAATATAGAATTCTTTACTCGAATTCACCAGCATTTCATTAGTTATTTTGTAATTAACAAAGCAATTCCTTGATAATTTCTTCTTCTACTTTTTGTGCACTTCACATCAACAAACGTACCTTTGATCATTCCCTTCCAAGAAAGAAACAAAACTAAAGGGTCCTTGGAAATCCAAAGAAAGAATAAACCCATGCCTTGGTCTGCATCCATTGCTGCTAAAGCCTCTCCTCTCTCGATTGTTTAACCAGAATTTTCATGTTGTATCGATGGTAATGGGCACGAACATGCATGTGCGCACACCGAACATATCGTTATTTCTTCTGCTTCTGTCTTTATTACAATTGCTCTTCTTCTCAGCCGGTGACCATACAGATATGGAGAACCTTTTGATATTCAAGGATTCGTTAGCAAACCCTGCAAATCTCAGAAACTGGAATGCTTCCATTCGACCATGCAACGGGAATGAAGCAAATTGGATGGGAGTGATCTGCGTTGGAAACAAAATATGGGGTCTGCAACTTGAAAACATGGGCCTAGGAGGGATGGTGAATCTTGAAATCCTTGATGAAATGCCTACACTGCGCATTATAAGCCTGGTGAACAACAATTTTGAGGGTAGAATCCCTGAAATGAAGAAATTAGGTGAGTTGAAAGCTTTGTATTTGTCAAACAATCACTTTGCTGGGGACATTCCTGATAATGCATTCCAAGGTACCAGATCCTTGAAGAACCTGTTTCTGGCGAATAATGGTCTCACCGGTAAAATTCCGTTGTCGCTGGCGACATTGCCGAAGCTTTTAATCCTGAAACTGGAGGGGAACCAGTTTGTTGGTCGGATACCTGATTTTAAGCAGAAAGTGAAGGTGGCCAACTTTGCTAACAATGAGTTAGAAGGTCCTATCCCTGCAAGTTTAAGCAGCATGAGTGCAAGCATATTTACAGGTAGCTGTTGCATTCATCCATTTATAGATTAAAATGCTTGTGTTCATCTTCCTTCCCATTAATTGCAATTGTGTTTGAATGTTTTCTGTTGAGGTTGAGACAAAATTATAAGTTTCTTGGGAGGGTAAAGATAAAATATTTTATGTTATAAAGATTAAATTAAATTATTAATTTTTGAGAAACATCTATTTTATGTACTTAAATATTACTTAAGAGTTCATTTCAGAAAAATGTATTAGTTACTATTAGATAATGATATATTCATTTTATTGTTATATATATTTATTATTTAAGATTTTATCTTGATTTTGTTTTTAAACTAAGATTTAAAATAAATTTTAAATCACCCATATTTAAAATTTAGTGTTTATAGTTTAAGTATTCAATTTTTATATTAATTTGAGTTAAATTTAATTTGATGTTTATAGTTTTTTAATAGTTTGAGGGTGATTATAAGATATTATATGTTTAAGATATTCTTAATCATTGACAACTTATACATCTTGCATGCATATATAACTGTTAGAATCTAAGATTTAGGAAAAACAATATGTCCTTTGAACACACAGACCATTTGATGAGTTCTGTAGATGTTATTGGTTAAAAAACATAATGAAAATTTATTAATATCAACGTACGATTTTACAAACACGGCAAATAATGAAATGCCAAATGTATTGATGAGCATAATGGTGTCGGGTTTTCATGTTTTAAGCCTTTGTTAGTTGAAAAGAATATATATATATATATATATATGTGTGTGCGTGTGTGTGTTATTACAGGCAACAAAAACTTGTGTGGACCACCTCTGGAGATCAAATGCCCTGTGACCAGTCCTCCACCACCAACCCCACCACCGACCGCCGCCTCAGCTAGCCGCCCTAGCCCCCAAGTTTCACCCATATACAAAAGGACAACATCAGCTCTTGAAATTGCATTGATCTTGTTATCTATACTGTTACTATTGGCACTCATTGCAGCAATCATTTTCATTCTGTGCAAAAGGAAACAAAAACGTGGAGTCTCAAAGGAATGGGATGGTGATGACTCCTACAAGTTGTCAGCTTCCAGTGTCGACCAAGACAAGAGCAAGTTTTCCGAGTGTGGAAGCATGGTGAAGAGGAACGTCGACTACGGGAAATTAGTTTTCTTGAAGGGCGAAGCCGACAGGTATGATCTGCATGATCTGTTGAAAGCCTCGGCTGAGGTTCTTGGGAGTGGGAATTTTGGAGCTTCATACAAGGCAGTCATAATGAGTGGAGAAGCTGTGGTGGTGAAGAGGTATAAACAAATGAACAATGTGGGGAGGGAAGATTTTCATGAGCACATGAGAAGGTTAGGAAGGTTGAACCATGAAAACCTGCTACCACTTGAGGCTTATTACTATAGGAGAGAAGAAAAGTTATTGGTTTGCCATTTCATGGAGGATGGCAGCTTGGCCAGTCATCTTCATGGTAAGTTTTTGGTAGCCTATTGTCATGTTTATGAGCAATTTTGATTATTATTACACCTTCATACTTCCTCCACTGACAACTTTTTCAAATATCGAAATTTCTGGGATAAGAGGAGGCCTTCGAAGGGTCCCCCTTCGCCAATCACAGAGTCAGAGATTTCATACTCTCCAACTGTTTTTAACATTACTCTTGATATGATTCCTGATAGGCCCATTTGATCTATTAAAATGAAATTTATTATCAAACAATTATATTCATTCAACTTGTGAGCGAGCCTACTAATAACAGTCATGACTCTAAGTCTTACACTGACACTAACACTAAGAATCTCTATAAAACTCTCACGCCATATTAAAAGGAGCTTCCTTCTTATTCATCTTCTTAAACCCTATTTCTCCTAGATATTAGAAAAAATCAGATGACATTGATCGTCTATAAAACCATCATTGATCACCGACTGCGACTCTCTACTCAAATCATAAGAGCCTTTATAAAACTCTCACACCATATTAAAAGGGGCTTCCTTCTTGTTCATTTTATTAAACCCTATTTCTCTTAGATATTGGAAAAATAAGACGATGCTGATCATTTATAAAACCATAGAGTTAGAGATTTTATATTCTCCAACCAGTCATATATTTTTTACATAAATTTTGATATGACTATTGACAAACCTATTTGATCTATCAGAACGAAATTTATTGTCAGACAATCATATTCATTCAACTAGCGAGTCTATTAATAATAATTATGACTCTAAGTTTGACATTGAATCTAACACTAAGAGTCCCTGTAAAAAAACACACGCCAGACTAAAAGGGACTTCTTTCTTGTTCATCTTCTTAAACCCCATTTCTCCTAGATATTGAAAAAATCAAACGACGTTTATCGTCTTTAAAACGACGTTTATCAATAACCATACCAAAATGTTACCATAAACAGTTATATATTTATCTCGCAAAAAAAATTTACTAGCATTGGTTATATATGAAATTTTGAATTTTAGATATAGTCCCAAAAAAGTTTGTAATTATCTACACTTGTATTGTGTAGGCAACCATTCATCAGATAAACCTAGTCTTGATTGGCGAACTCGATTGAAGATCGTAAAGGGTATTGCCAGAGGTTTAGCTTATCTCTACAACGAACTTCCCAGCCTAGTCGTGCCGCATGGTCATTTGAAATCTTCCAATGTGCTTCTAAACGAGAATTTCGAGGCTTTGTTGTGCGACTACGCTTTAAGACCAGTGATGAACCAGGAACAAGCCCACATGCACATGACTGCTTACAAATCACCGGAGCATGCCATCAATGGTCGCATCAACAGGAAAACCGACGTGTGGTGCCTAGGAATACTGATACTAGAGATCTTAACAGGTAAGTTCCCAGAGAACTATCTAACACCAAGTTATGACAGCTATACCAATCTAGCCACATGGGTGAATGAGATGGTGAAGCAGAAGAGAACCAGTGAACTGTTTGACATGGAGATGTTGGGGACTAAGAACAGCAAGGGACAAATGATAAATCTTTTGAAGATCGGGTTAAGTTGCTGTGAAGATGATCCTGAGACAAGACCGGAGTTGAAGGAAGTAGTACGAGACATTGAAGAGTTGAAAGATAGGGATGAGCGTGATTTCTCGTCAACATTAGGTGAAGTAAATGCAGTGATCTCTGGTAGAAAGGCGAGGGGTGAATCATTTTCATCCTTTAATCTTTGAGCATTTCTATGTACTGTGGCTTTAGTTGATAGTAATTTATCTTGATCTCTCTCAGTTAGTTTCCAAATTACATGCTAAATAGATGTATGGATTACATACCAGGAAAGCTGTTGATGTAATATTGGGATCTTGATTTTAATAATATAGATCGCTTCCAAGCAGAAGAAAAGTCCATCTAATTGTTAAATTAGGGTTTTTAATCAGGTTTCTTAGTCCAGACGAGTGGCGGATCCATGAATAATTTTTAGGGTGGGCAAGTGTATAGTAATAATAAAAAGAGAAAATAATTTCAGTGACCAAAAATGCCTTATAATATACGATTTAACCAATTTTTTTTGGATTTGTCAAAATGACCAACTAAATCGCGTTGCGAATTATCGATCGCATTGCGATTTAGTTGGTCATTTTGGCAAATCCAAAAAAAGTTGGTTAAAATCGTAAGGCATTTTTTGTCAATGAAGTTATTTTCTCTAATAAAAATGTTTCGTATGAGATAGATACAAATAAAATTTCGAGGTGAAACCCTTATTAAAATAAACTACTAATATAAAGAAATTTCTTTTGACCACCTTTGCACCGGATAAAATAGAGAAAACAACAAATTTCTTCGGTTTTTCTTGGAGGTAAAATAAAGACTCACTTATGAGGTGACATTCTCAACTCAATTAGTATATAGTTTTTTATTTATTTATTGACGAATTCAAAAAAATTAAATTACAATATTATTTTTAAAAAAATAATACATAATACTTTTTAAAAATCATGTTAATTTTATTATTGAATAAATTTTATAAAAAAATAAATATCATCTAACACCTTTTACATCAATATAGTTTCCCTCGTGCTCTTATTCTATTTGTTTTCCTCTTGAAAAAGAAAAAAAAAGTTGTTTCCAATAAAATGTATTTCTCATTTTTTTATTAATCTGTGATAAGTACAAGATAGTCTCTGTTCAAAGATAATTCTCTCAACCTCTCGACATTGAACGCTCACACTCTTAGCATCTATGATGCTCGAATTTGAGTCCTCAAAGAATAACAACAATTCTTTTATCATAGAGGCTATTTGGTTCGTGCATGTATTTCTCATTCTTAATTTCGATGCATTTCTTCTTTATTAATCTTTTAAATTCTGTTCATTTTTCTATCTATTCTACAATAGGCATACGCATACTTGGATCTATTTGACATCCATGCCCTAGGAAATGAGAAGACAATGTTGTAACGTCCCAAAAATTGGTTATATGATTCAGCCAATTTCTTGATCAACATTCAACAAGGAAATGGGGTGAGCTCATTGCTCTAGAGGAGAGGACTGTAAACCCCAGTTCATTTGACAGAGCGTTATTTTTTATCGTTACGGATTGTCAAACTTGAGTGGAAGAGAGTTTTGAGTTGAAAGTGGGGTAATGAGTGTTTTCAGTTTGTATTTCTGAATTCGAACCTTGCTTATCTCCAGATTCCGTTTGAGAAGTTTCATCGTCGATGAAGGGGTTGGAGGCTACTTCCTCACCGGTTGTCAATGAAGCAATGACCAAAGTGTCATCGACTAATGATGCTAAATGCGGCGATGAGGCAGGTTCTTCATTGTTGGAGATGAATCGTCAAATGGTTCTTGGTGCCTCAACAACCCCATGCCCAAGTAGCATGCTCAAATCCGTGTACAACACTAAACCCCACGTTCATACATCAAAGAGAGCCCCAAACCTAAACCTAACATGGTTACATCAACACGTGACCTATTGTAGTAATCCAACCCACGTCTTTTTTATAATTTAATCCTTTCATTACACTCTTCACTACATTAATCTTTAGCTTCTTTTATCAAACCCCTACCGTTACCTTATGGTATCATGTTTTATATTCGAGCGACTTTTTGAACATATGAAATTTATATACAATTTATTAAGAAAAAATAAGACAATGATCTTTTGTGTGGGAATCCATAGAAATACGTCTTAATTGATAAGGAGTGTGTTTTCAATGATTGTTCGTACAAAAGAATACTCTTTTTAAATTTTTCTAAAAAAGGATCATAATATAAATACATATTCGAAGTTGCAATTTTCATTATTTAGATGACATATGATCTCTTAGGTACTAATTTTGGGCATTGTGGGAGTGCTCAACCTTCCCCATGCGTAACTGAATTCTGAACCCTTTTCAAAACAAGTTTATGGTTAAACGTAGACTATTTTTATCTTTTAAAATTATATTTTCTTAAAATTATTTTAAAAAATATTTTTAGGTATTCGACCTACTTAACCCAAAGGTCGATGGCAACTCCAAACTTATTTATTTTCCAAAATCCTATTTCCCAAAATTAAGTTGGATCGCTCCTCCTGTAACATCCCAAAAACTAAGTGACTAAATTGTAAGATTTTGAAACTTTGGGTCTAATTTCAAAAATTTAAAAAGTTCAGGGACTTAGATTGGAATATCTTGGTATTGGATTAAATAGAAAAGAAGGAAAGAATGAAGGGTATTATGCTCTTTTCATTTTAAAGGATCTTTATCTCCTTTATTAAGGAGTAAGAACGTGGATATTGTGTAGAATCTGGAAATCTCTTTTCCTTGTCTTCTTCCTCTGACGTGAGCTTCATTTCCAAAGGAAAGTTATGAAATTTGGTTGGTTTCTTCAATTTTTGGGGTTGGTTTTAAAGCATGGGTGCTATACAAGCTTAAAGAAAGCTTGTATATAATTAAAACAACAAGAGGAAAGAATTAGAAAGGAATTGGTAAAATGGGATTGGAAATGAATTTTGATATGGAGTAGTTTTTGGAGTTTTATGAATAAATTTCACTTGTCATAAGTAGGAATAAGAAGTCTAAGGTATTAAAAATGAGTTTAGAACATGTTGAAAGTTTAGTAAAATTCTTAATTTCAAGAGTTATGGTGAGATATTGAAGATGATGATGTGATATAATGTTAAAAGATTATTTAAGTATGTATAGTTGAGTTTAATGACATGAAGGGAGTTAAATAAATAGAGTTAAGGTGAAGTGTTGGTAACTTTCGGGTTAAAGAAGTATAATATGAGTTAGTAGTATCGGTACTGGATGAGTAAGTACCGATACTACAAGGCAAAATATGTGATAAGTATGAGTGGGTATCGATACTGTATGAACAATATCGATACCATAAGGAAACAAATTGGTAAAATCTTCATGGGGTATCAATACTGAAGTAATAGTATCGATACCATGGGTATCGATACCAATATGGAAGTATCGGTACCATTTTTACAATGAAATTTTAGAATCAAGAATATGTACTGATACCGAGAGGATGGTATCGATACTACAAGCCTAGAGGTATCGGTACTGTACTTGTAGTACCGATACTACTCAAGCTGAAAGTTAGATTTAGTACATTGTTTAGTTGTATTAGTAAGAACCTTTCAGATTAATTTGAATTCTGATATTTATATGGATTGTATATTTGTGTAGATATCGAGCAAAAGCAAAGTCCGGACAAGTCGACCAAGTAAGAGTTACCGAGAGAGAGATAAGATATTGGTATTGACTAGTGAGACCAAGGTGAGTCATGATATTTTGTATAGGTTATTTTATGGAATTAAGACTTGCGATGAGTCTAATTCCTATATTAGATTACATGTGTACATTAATACAAGTATGATATTGAGATGGTGTTTATGTGTACATGAGTATAAGCATATGTCTATATGTTAAGTGCATTTATATACAGGATTTACATGAATACATGTTATGTGAGATGGTCCTATGTGATATGCTATATGTGACCATAAGATATGAGAATATATGAGAATGCTATATGATCTACGCAAGGATAAGTTATGAGACTATGTGTGAAATGATATGAGTCATATGAGTACACGTATATGTGATGAATTGGTTGACTATGTGAATATATATTTATAAAAAGATATAAGAATAAGATATAAGCCATGTGACATGTGAATGTGAATCATATGAAAATGTTCTACGTGTAAGTGAACTACGTGCTTATATGAATATATGAAATGACATAAATGATAATGCCCATGTTATGTGATATGCGAGCTAGGGGTATAGTTGACATGCCAAGAGTCGAGGGTTCTACGTGGTCCTTTGGGACATATATGTAATCCTTTGGAACATATATGTGGTTCTTCAACACACATATTTGGTCCTTTAGAATATATATGTGGTCCTTTAGAATATATATGTGGTCCTTAAGGAGATTTCTATGTGGTCCTTCGGGACATTTCTACGTGGTCCTTCGAGACATACCTATATGGTCCTTCGGGACATTCTATGTGGCACTTCGGTGCAATTATACGAGTTGTGGTGACAACATTTGTTCATAACCTCAATGTACTCAGATATCTTTAGTTCTCAGAAGTGGACATGGGCTAATAAAGAGATAAAACAGATACACTGTATGTGATATATATATAACTTGGTATGTGAAATGTACTATAGGATTTATGTGATGTTGTGTGTATTGCTTGATTAAATGTATTATATGATGGTTACAAATGTTATGTATAAGATTATGTAATTATAAGGACTAATGATAAGATTGGTAATAAAGATAATGATGGTACATGTGTATGTAAGCATTTGTTATATGATTTGGTATGATATTATCGTATTTAATGTACATGCATTGTTAGGTATTAAAGTTACCATTATTTGTTTATATGTCTCATTAAGTCTATGACTTAGCGTGTGAGTGTTTCACACGTAGGATCCAAGAAGTCTGAAGAGTAAGGATAAGCAGCAGAGACAACATAACATTATCAGAGATCAAATCGGAAACAATTTAACGATAGTTCTTTTGTTATTGTAAATAGTGTTGGCATGTACCTTAAAGTTAAATGATATATTCTCTGATAAGTGTTTTGTAAACTTTTTGATTTAATGCATGTAAATTATTCAGTTTATTCAAATTAAGTATGAAATTCTCTTATATTTTATATAAGTAAATGATTTGAAAAGTCAATGTGACATCTCAGACTCGTATCCGAGTCGAAT